GCGCCCCGGAGCTGCGGCGATCGGGTCGCCCCGTGGCTCTGTAAAGTCCTTCTGTGTACTTGGAGACTGCGGTACAGTGGAAGCATCGCTCTTTCTTCTGTCCCCTTTATATCGGGCATCCAGGTTTTCTCTGGCGTTAGGGTGCAGGTTGTAGTCCCGTAGTACCCTTCAGTGGGGAGGAGTGGCTGCCTTGTGGTGGGGGAGCATTGGTCACTCCTGACCGTGCCCCTGGCGTCAGAAGAAGGGCTGATGTGGATTCTCAAAGTGTGGAGCTCTGGTCTCTGCTGGAGTCAGTGGAGGCAGACTGCAGAGACCTGTGTCACTGAAGGAAGGAGAAATAGGTTTGTGTTGCCAGTGCTTTGCTTACTGCTTTGCAGCTGAACAGTGAGCTGTGCTAATTGTTTGCTTTACTCAGTTCTTCTGGTCTGTGTGTCTCCTACTTGCTGCTTGTGTGTGAATTTTTCTAGAAAGGAACTAATTTTTTTCTTTCCTGTTCCCCTTACTAACCCATATATAATGTACTTCTTTTTATTGTTTGTTACTGTCTTCTTCTGTTTACGATGTGTTTGTGTCCTCTTTCTTCTAAAGGTGTGATAAGTAGAACTACTCCTCACATGAGGCGACAATACCTTAAGATAAAGGGAATGCAGTAATGTGCTCTGCTAATATTAAGAAGATGATGCTTAATTCATTAATGCTTAAGTTCTTAAATTAAAAAATGATTTTCATATGCTTGTCAAATATTTTCATGTATTAATTTATGTTATTATGTCTGGTGATGATGAATTGTCTTGATGAGTGAAATTTTAAGGTATTAAGCACGTAAAACTTCTTTTGCTAAATGCCTGAAAAAATATTCAGACATCTATAAACCTGTTTATTAAGCTGCCTCCTGCTACTAGGGGTGAAGCCTTTAAGGTGTACAATTCCCTCTTTAAACTAATCAATATGTTCCATTTACCAGTTGTTTTTAAAATGCTTTGCACAGTGTGGCTACCCACACAAAGCCATCCAAACCTTAGTAAAAGTCATAATATTTGGTCTTGAACTCATCCATTTCTTGTAGTTACAAGAGGCTGCCCAGTACTGCTTTATCTAGTCAGCAGGGGGCAAAATGTAGCTTGTTATTTTTGCTACCAGTTGTTTTATATTGACTTCATTGCGTTTTTAAAGTAGTTTAGAATATCTTTCAAATTTCAGAATGTTTACAAACTTCTAATATGCTGTTGTTACTCAGTCTCTTGAAAAACTAGAAATTTTTACTCTTGAAAATGGTGCTGGAAGAATTGGCTGAAAATATATAAGTTACTTGTATGAACCCCACATAAGAACAAAGCAGTGACTGTGTCTGTGTTACAGTCGGAGGATACTTAATGTGGAATCTCCTACTATACCAACATCACGTATAGTTCATGGTTTGTTTTAGCAAGCCTGAGGCATCTTGTTGAATTAAAAAATTCTTCCAGTGTAGAATGTAGAGGACTTGAACAGTTCTTTGAGTGGTCAAACATGTCAGTTGCTGTCTTTATCAAGACAGGAAAGTTCACAATTCTCCAGATAAACTGGGCAGGGACAAAGAACTCCTATGTTTGGCAGCAAAGACTGCGGTCGTGTCTTACAGGTGGCTGGCATCAAGTAGCCTTTTTCCGCTGTCATGCATCCACACAAGTGCGTCTCTGCAGAAATTTGGGAAGTGGGAGAAAAAGAACTGGATTGTTTACCCTCCGCAGCTGCCTGGAGAACCTCGCAGACCAGCCGTAAGGACACACCTGTGAATTTCCTTCCCTGTTTACCTTTAGCAGTTTCTGAACAGATTGTTGCTGTTGTTGGGTGACTCCACAAGGCACTAGGTTGCCAGCTTTGTTATTTGAGATTTTGATCACTTTGGCACATTTATGTTATCGTTAACATTGCTTCAAATGTTTTCCATTTCTAAATTATATTGGAGCTTCAAGTTACTTGCAGCCGATCACCTTTGTGGTGCAAACTGCAAAGGTACCATCCTCTGTGGAACTCTTTGAACTGCAAGGAGGTAGAAGTTACCAAGGCTATATCATTATACATTTGTTTTGTTCGTAGTGAGAGTAAATAGTTAAAGAAAGTGACTTATGTTGTTACTTCTGTGCACAAAGATATAAACGTGACTTTCCTCGAGTAGTGGAACTAGTGGTGCCTGCTGGTGTAGGTATAACAGAGTGCACGTTCTTTCCATTTCTTAATTTCTCTGCATTATAGATTCTCCGAGGTCTGATGATGTGTTTCCTCTTGCTATGGCCTCCCCTTAATGAAGCTGTTCAGTTATTTCCTGTCTTAATGGCTGCTTGAAATGTTTAATATAAACTGAGAATTTTTAATCTTATGCGGGGAGGGACATGTGAGTCAGATGTGGCATGTGATTGCTGGGAGTTTTTTTCTTAGGAAACTATTTTATATATACTATACAGTGGGGTTTCTTCAGTTTGTTCCACAATAACTTGTTTTACGAAAACTGAAGCAAAGAATCTAAAATTCTTGTTACCTGTATGCTTGGTGCAGCCTTCTGCTGACTGTTAGAGACAACATTTGGAGAAGTCAGTGTAAGTAACATGGTCAAGGTTTTTAAATGTCATTGTAACAGATCAGTTTTTGGTAACAGCAGGTTTATGCCTGTTGCTCCCTGTCCCCCCTTATTAATCATTTTATACCTGGGAAGCACAGTTCAATGGGAGCAAAATCAAGCCTCTGAAGTTACGCAGGAAATCTTGGTGGTGTATGTTTGATCACTGAAGGGACTGACCAGTGCTGCTTTCTCTACAGCACAGCCTGGAAGAATTTTAGGTTAATGCTTCATTATTTCCCCACTCTTGAGAAATGATATTTTGAAATTTCATTTTTATAATTGTTCTTCATTGGTAATTAATGTGTTGTGGCCTCTGTCAGGCATATTGCTCAGCAAAGTATTGGCATCTCAGAAGAATAGGCTGGGGAGAAAGAAAGGAAAAGATGGAAAATCGTATGATGATTTTTTTTCAGGGACTTGTGTTTAATTCTCTGAAGATTGTATTAAAATTTTCTATGTGCTAGCTAATTTATTTATTTTTTAATGTGTTTGGTTATAAATGGCAAAGGTATGCCTGATCTGGTATGTTCATGGTATAGTAGGGGCATCATACTTATTTTACTCCTAATGAGAAAATAGATTGTGGATTAGAGGTGTACGCTTCATTCTTGTTTTCACAGAAAAAAATACTGATCCTCTAACTTTATTTTGCACCTAGGAAATATATCACTGTCGGAGGGAAATAAAATACAGCAAAGATAAGATGTGGTATCTGGCAAAACTGGTAAGCAAAAACTGTTACCCAGGATCATATGCACTGTGGAGGAATTTTTGTTGTTGTCTAGTAATAGATGGCAAGGGGAACTTTGCAAAATTGTAAATTGGTGGTGTTTTTCTCTTCAAGAAAAAAATATTGAGTATTTTATCAAGATTTCTTCAATGTTTAGCTCAGAAGTTTTATAAGATACTACACTGAAGAAATGGTAATTAAGGGAAATAAAGTCTTTGATTTTTCTCTTTATAATGGCAAAGTAATTTAAATACTGCCTTCTGGATAAGAGAAGGAAAATATTTATAATTGTAGGAGCTCACTTTAACACTTTGATTGCAGATAAAAGGAATGTCCATTGATCAGGCTCTTGCTCAGTTGGAATTTAGTGATAAAAAGGGAGCAAAGGTGATCAAAGAGGTATGTAGCAATATTCTTTAATACTCCTACTTTCAAGAAACTTCAGAATCAATACCTATCACCAGAAGTTTGGAGATGTTTCTATTTGTGGCTTGTAATATTTCTGTTAAGGCTGTTAGGTACACATTCAAACAGTATTTTTGTAGCAGTCTTCTAATGTTGTGACTTCTGGATACGCAGAGTATTGTACTGTCTGTCTGTATGCAATTACGTGTGAGTACCCTCGCTAAGTAGGCTTGGTGCAACTTAATGGTAAATCATGCAGAAGCCTTGTCAATAACAGCTGCTTCGACTATAGGCTCTAATTCTTAAAATCGTAAGACAAGAACAATATAATCAGGGGAAGCACTGAGTTATGCAAAGACATGAAAACTTTTCAATTGCAGTAGTTATTAGAAGTCTTAAATTTCTCGTTCTTGGCTGAAGCATTGATTTCTGGCATAGTAACAACAAAGAAGTATCCTGTATTAGCTGAAATTATTGAATGGCCTAAATTAATTTTGCCCACCCTGGAATTTGTTTCTTGTCTGATGTCTAATTAGATGAAGGTCCACAGATAGAACCTGACAAATGCTGGTGAGAAGCATCTTTTCTACTCCCTTTCCCCTGAAAAACTAGAATAAAGTTGTCCCGAAGCCTTTTCAGTCTCTATGCAAAGAACATGCTTAGGTAAAAGATGTTTGTTGGTTAACAATTTTGATCTCTGTGGAATACTTTTCCCTGTAACTAACTGACTTGGATGTAAATGCAGGTTTATCTAGAGGTAAGAAATAGTGTTACTTAAATTCCTGCTCAGTGTTTCCATTTCTTTTCTTTTTGTTACAGGTTCTGTTAGAAGCACAGGAAATGGCAGTGAGAAATCACAATGTGGAATTTAAATCCAATTTACATATAGGTACATTTTTCTCCTTGTTTATGTGCAGAGGGATGTCATTCTACTCTACAAAAATTTTAGCAGAGATGAGTAGAGGATGGTTTCTGCTAGACTTATCTTTACCAAAACCTGAAAAGCATGTACTTCTGACTTGCAGGTTAGTGTGGTTGTTGAGCCTTCAGGCATCAGTTTATTATAGTTGGTGTCTGACTGGTGTTCTGGTGTAGGTGCATTGTTCTTAAGATGAGTCGATCCGAGAGTGGAATTTCTGCTCCCGCTGTGAACAGAAAGTCCTGAAGAGGAAGATGCCTGGTCCTCATGTGTTGCCTGATCTAGTCGACAGGTGGTGCCCCTGGCGGCAGGGAGGCTGGATTAAAATGATCTCTAAGGTCCCTTCCGGCTTAGGCCATTCTATGATGATTCTATGACATGATTATGAAAGACTAGACAAGAAGAAGCAAACTGTTACTACTTTGTGATGTTGCCAGTCAACACAGATGTTGGAAGCTTTGTCTATGGCTAGTACTACTAGATTTGCAGGATTGGAAAATAAACTTCTGTAAGCAACATTATGAAAGTAAATGGCTATTGACAGCAGACTCAATAAAGACCTTGTTACAAGCCTATTCTGTAATCATCTGTAGTAATTACAGCACTTCCTTGCCTAGAAAAATATTGAAGAACCATTTACTTGTAGGTGTTCTTAGGCTTAAAGGAAAAAAAAAAATCCCATTTTGCCAAATATGGTAGAAATGTTATTAAACTGACCTCATAAGCTTAAAGTAACCTGGATTGTAGAGCAGGTTTGATTAGAATTCTTTGGAGCCTTCCAGGCCTCTGCCATAAGAAGGTTTATCTGCTAGTGCAGGAGTGGATGTGTAGATAATGAAAATACATATGATGAGTGCAATAAAGGAAGAAAGGAGGGAAAATGAAGTCTGTAAGACTTCTACAGGAATTCATGAGGCAAACTACTGAAAGGCAGTGGAATTAATACCACCTTCAGAAGAGCTATATAATCTAGTAAGTGCTCAGTGTAGCTTCCTTTGGATTTGTCCTTTCCTGCATATTTATCTTTGCATGCATGCCTTCTAAATTCACCTTCCTGGTGCTCCTGAAGAGTGTTAATTCAACTCACGGGTCCTCTATGGTAGTAATCTGCTAAATGTAATAGAAGAAAGATGGAGAGGACAATCCCAAGTAGAATTAACTTTTCACATGCAGGCAGAAGTACACCAGCAAGACAGTGTTTCAGTTGCAGGTGTATAGGAGTTTATTCTTGACTGAAGAGTCTTCTCTCTTTCTCCCTTCCCCCTGCTTTTTCCTTCAGCTGAGTCATTGACGGGCAGAGGCCGCTATGTGAAGCGGATTCGATACCACGGCAAAGGCATGTTTGGCATCATGAAAATTTCCAGGTGCCATTACTTTGTGAAGTTGGTGGAAGGTCCTCCTCCTCCTCCAGAGCCACCAAGGACTGGGTTTGACCAAGCGAAAGAATACGTGGAGCATTTGCGAAGTAGAACCCTTGTTAATACACTGTGACAGATTTTTGTGACTATATAGAAATTTCTTGTTTGATGATGTAATTATATAGAAGAATAATTAAAATAATGTTTTGGCTATATATTTGGTGCTGCTGGAGCTGAATGATTCAAGAATGGTCGTAGGTTTTTTTCTTATTTGTCAAGCCTTATGTGAGGAAAAATCTTGGAAAAGCAGCCACCGATGTTACTTTTTCTGAATTACTTGGACCACAGCATTCAAGCTTTACCCTGGACTATCAAATCTGGAACATGCAGTGATTATAAGGATCTGTGGCTATTCTCAAATTCACACAGCTGTCTATTAGGTGTAGTTGGATCTTTTAAAGTAAAAATATGTGCTTGACAGTCATGCTGGAAGATTAAGACTTGGAATAAAATTATTAAAATTTGACATCTTAAAGTAGCTACAACGGTGGAACAAAAAATGTGACAATAATAGCTGAGATTATCAGACATCAGTTGAGGTTTTTTTCTTTGTCTGGACTGTAATGCCCTTTCCATACAGCCTCTGTTGTGCATCTTGGACATTGTGGCTGGGAGTGGAGAATAATAAAAAATCGTTTAAAGTTGAGATTGTGACAGAGTCGGTAGGTGGCAATGTTTAGTTTGTCAGAGAGGCACGTGGCAGTGAAAACTTACAGGATGCTAAAACTCTGTTCTGAATTCTGACCATGGCATTAGTAGTCTGATACATGCATGGAGTTCAGGCTGTTCTCTGTGGAAAACCAGTATGGGTAACAAGCAGAGTGTGGAGAAAAGACTGTCTTGGTGAAGAGTGAACTAATTATTCTGTACTGTCTAGAAACAAATTGTTTTTGTAACATTGAGGCAAGTAAAATGCTCAGTGGACTTAATATGGAATGGCTTCTTGCATATATATATATGTATCTTCCTTTCAGTTCAAACACAGAATCACTGAAACAATCCCATTTTTAGCGTTCCTTCCTTTGGAAAGTCTGAGGTCACTAAGGGGAATCTCATTTCACCCAGTCAAATTTTGAATTTGCTAGCCAGAGATAATGAACATCAGCATAAAAAGAGAGTGAGTAATTGCTTGCTTATGCAAATGTCTGATATTCAGACCTTTCTTTTCCACTCTGGACACATTAGAGTGGGAGAAAGATTACTCACCTTGTTTGGGTTGTCTTACCACACCAGCTAGTGATAGTCTCTCTCGTGTGTCTACTCTGATCAGTACTTGAATGATGGCAGAGGGACAATTCCTGTTCAGAACTCTTTTCTTTTGACTTAAAGTGGCATACAGCTGTTTCTTTTGGCTACCAAAGAACAGGGCTGGTGTTAAAGAATGTTGGGGGATTGTGAAGTTACACAAGTACATGCACAGCACAATGCCGTTAATGGGTGCTTACTTTCAGTCTGTTTTTCTGCAGTGCACTTAGATGCATTATTTGCTTTTAAGCCATGATTTCGTAACTTTTGTCTGGAAGGTATGTTCCTGATAAAACTCACTATCTCTCTAGTCCCTGATGTGTGTTTGAAGAACTGTTTCTGGTGTGCTATGATAAACAGCTGTGCTTTGTTCTGCCAGCTGCCGTTAAACTCTTTTGTCACTCTGAATCTTACAAATTCTAGCAAACTCGAATGGCTTAATCTTTTTGCAGGTCAGCGATCTGGGAGAAGACTAAGGAATCACAAAATAATCCAAGCTTAATAAGCACTTGTCATCTAAGCATGTAAAACCTGTCTTCTAGGTATTTTATTCCAGCATCTGGTTCTCTTGGATGCTGTAGATTTTGCTTTGGATCCCTTTTGGACTTTCAGAAAAGGTTGTATCCTTACAGATATCATTGCTCTAGTTTTGAACCTACATACAGTGAGAGAAGTGACTGTCTCTTCCAGCTTTAGGATGCAGCACGTGGCCTTGACACTCCTTCAGAGAAACAGACCTGAGCTTTTAAAATTTTGCAGTCAAGAAAAGCAAGGTTGTTGCTTCTCATTCATGTTTTCTTTCTCAATAAGTTGGCAAGACTATTCTGACATGGTTTTCAGCATTCCTCTTATTCCTTAGTACCTTCTGCCTTCTTAAAGATGCGTAATCTGTAGTGGATCCTTACGGTGTTGGCTACAGAAACCTGACAGCTGTATCTGGAACAGAGCCATGATGGGAGGTTCGGTGGGATGAGGGGCTTGAGCTGTCTTTTACTGGTAGGGCAGTAAGAGCATCTGAAGTGGTAGGTGCATCAGAATGTTGGTATGGGAACCTGCCTGAACCTTTTTAATATTCAGTAAGATCTAGCGATAAAGCTTTATGCTGTCAAGTTCTGTAGATAAATAAAATTTGCGGGGTTTGATTCAACTGTGCTTTCTCAGTGTTTAGGAAATGTACACTTCAGTTAAATACTTGGTATGGATCCAGACAGAAAAGTCAATGCATACTGCAACAAAACTTGAGCAGAAGATTGTTGATGACTGACCTCCAAATGAGCTGTCACCAGAAAGGAGGGAAAGAAGCACCTAGGCCTCTACTTGATGCTAATTTTATTAGCAACATCTGGGGGCACTGTAAACTTACCTCTTGTGTATGTATGTGCTGATGTTACAGAACCTGGAGAAGGAGCAAGTATGCGTGAAGGTGTAGTAAGACTTCAGGGAAATCTGAAGAGAGCAGAACTGTGAGCTGTGCTCAGCAATGTGAGATATAATTGAGGAAAACTTAAACTGCTGTTGGCTTGTTCATAAAGATTTTAAAGTATCCAGTGAGAAAGTCAAAGTACCTTAGTCAAGACAACCTGAGGGTTTTTTTGATGTGGGTTTTTTTTGATGTGTTTTTTTTGTTTGTTAAGTTCTGGACAGTTATTGAGGAGGTAGCTCATCAAAGGTAGAGGAAGTCTCATGTAATTAGAAAAGTGATCATCAGCCTCTCTAAAAGCATGGAGGATAAATGTGAGTGTAATAGACTGACTGGACAATTGGGAACATCTGATTCTGGTCAGGTCTGTATTGGAAATTGCTGCCATGAGGTGAACCATGTTAGGGCTCAGATGGTGCCTGGGCACAGCCAAGCTCGTTCTGCCCAGTGCTTCAGCTGTGCCACTGTACCTGGCATGGACTTGGCCAAGGTGACACAGCTCAAATCTTCTCGTGACCACTGTTTGCACAGGTGGGAGGTGTGTGACGGTACTGCCACCTCTGCCTTGCGGAGTTTCTTGCGAAGTCCTTTGGTCTCTGGAGTGAAGGAAGGTTAGGCATTGCTGTTTGCTTTCAGCCTGTCCCCATGAGAAGCCACTGCTGGGATGCTGGGAAGTAATTTGCAAACAGAATTCTCCTTTAAATAGAAATAAGGTTACTCCTAATATCCTCAGTGAACCATAGGAACAAAGTGTGATCTGCTTCACTATACGAGCTGTACAGTCTTGCCAAAAATGCCAGTGTCTGGCTTTTTGAAGAACAAGCCCTTATTGCTGAATGATGTCTATCCAGCTGCACTTCAGCCATGTAATTTAAAAGAATTATTAATTAAACAAAATAAGAGACTGTAACAGCAATAATAATCACTCAAGTTACTCTTTGCTCAAAGCCTACCTAGGAACAATAATGTGAAAGGAGGGGAAAGTTTTGGGAACTGACTTTTGAGTATTGAGGTTGAAGTAAGGAACAAGATATCTCTTGGGAACAGTCAGCAAACGCAGAACTAATATTCTATTTGCTCTGTAGCATCAACACTCATCTTGCTTCAAGGAAGTTGCATGCTAATACGAAGGGCAGGCTGCCATTGAAGAGAACAAGACAAGGAGAGTGTAACTTTACACTGGGCACATTAGGAATCCACCTCAGAGTATTAGCTAAGGAAATTAATCTGAAAGTCTGTGTAATACCTTTGAACAGAGTGTACTTGAAACTGAAGACAAAAGGCAGGACAGAGCATCTGGGCAGAGAGCATAACAGTAGCGAGGCCATCAAGTTTTGTGTAGTAAAATTAATTTGTAATCTGAACCTAGGTTTGCTCTCTTTTTCTTTCCTGTAACAATAATGAAATGGAGGCTTAAATCATGTTTGTATTCATATCGTATCTTTTATTTTAAATTAGTTTGTAGTTGGGACCATTGTCAACACTGTATCAAGTCACCTTTGTCTGACTAACAATATTTGAAATCCAGCCACCTCTCTGGTAGCCTGTACTAGGGATATGCTCCCCTGTGAAAACTTCTTGCAAAGCCCAGTCTGAGCCTCTCAAGCTCTGTTGTCCTTTGTTCAGTTGCCTGGTGCTACTGAGAAGTGGTTGACTCTAACGTGTAACTCTTCTGTACCTGTCAGATCACCCTGCTAACCACCTTTTGGGTGAGATGGACGAGCCTGCCTTCAACCTTTTGTCACAAATCTAGTTCTCTACCCCATGTGGTGTACCCTGTCTAGTTTTCTCTGTGGCAGTGAGGGGCCTAAAATCAGATTCGCTGTTCCAGGTACACCTTCACCAGCACTGATGAGAGGGAGATAATGTCCCTTCGTCATCTGATCATGCGTTCAGTGGAGCCAGGCATGCAGTTTGCTGTAGTAAGAACATGTTGGCTCACATTCAGCCTCGTGTTCATGCAAGTTCTAGGTCCTTTTTAGGTCACTCATCAGAATTACAGTAAATGTCTGTGGCACCAGCTCTCATTGCTTTTCTGTGTACAACAATGTACTTCTTTGCCACTAGGAAGTTGTTCTGTTATGGGGATGATGACTTTCTTTCCTAATAGCAAAGTTGCCAAACAGTTTCCTGGCTTCTGGAATTAATCAAGCTCTTAGGCTAGCTAAGAGTGAAGTAAAGGCATTTGTACATGTTGTTGTGGTAAAGTCCATCAGTGTAGGCTGCTAATAAGTGGTGAAATGTCTGCATCTCTCCTATTGATTAGCCATGTAAATTAAAACTTTAAATGAAAACAAAGTGGACTGTGAGGTGCAGTGCATTGGACCATTAAAGGATTGCTGTTCAAAGCCAGCTCTTCTAGATGCCCCTGATTCTGTGCTGCCTTCTTTCCCCACTTAAAATTCCCAATAGTGCATTAAGATGAACTCACTAGTTAGTAATTTTTCCCCTGTGTAGTTTACAAGCTCAAGGTTATGGGCTA